CTATAAGAAAGCTCGTGGAGAATGCTGGATTACTCACTGCCATACAGTGGCACGATATCGGCGAAAAAATTCCTCTGAGTGAATGAATGAGAACGCTCACCCTTCAGATGCTTGCATGGATTAGGGAGAAAGTTTGTCGAACACCAGTGAAATTGGTTTCATTTAGTACCTGTACTGCTAGCATGGCGTACCATCCAACTCCAACCAAATACCCAACTGCGAGTTTTTACTTGCCTCGTCTGGTGATTCCAATCTGCGATGAAGTAGGCTCCTATTCAGCTTACCCCCCCCTCTACGCAAGGAATTTCACAAGAACTGCACTAAGCGTATTGCCACCTTAATTAATTCCTGCAATTCGGGGAGAGTGATGGTCTCTTCAACAAAAAGTATACGTACGCAAATTCCATTGCTTCATTTGCATTACGCGCCATATGTCTATTTAGCGTGATTTTTTGTTGTTTTGGCATCAATCTGACAGCACTTCAGTCACACGGTCAATCCTGGCGAGTCAGTGGCCCTGGTCGGTACGTCCGGTTGTGGGAAGTCCACCCTGTTGCAACTGGTCCAGCGTCTCTACGATGTCAATCCGCACGGCCCCGACAGCGGCGTCTTCCTCGACGACATGGACGTTCGCTCCTTGGCACCTAACTGGATCCGTCAGCAGATTGGCATTGTCTCCCAGGAGCCGAATCTTTTTGATATGACAATTCAAGAGAACATCGCCTACGGTGACAACTCCAGGGAAGTTTCCATGGACGAGATTATCGACGCAGCCAAGAAGGCCAATGTGCACGATTTCGTAATGAGCTTGCCAGAGGTAAGCGATGTCCAAGGCTAAACTGCATTCGCACCCTCTTATTCGCTGAGACAACCTTTCCAGCATATGTACATCACAATGCTAGGAGGTTTTTTTTCGAAGGCGGCAAGGCTGTTGCTGTAGAAGCAGGACACTTTATTAAATTGCTATGCAGAAATCATGGTAAAGTACATTGTGTTCCCGATATGGTCCACAAACAGGGGTTATATTACTCCAGTCTCTTCGAGGTTCTGCAACCAAGTTTACTTGCAAAGCACCTCCTTATTCTATAACTTGGGATTAAGTTAGTTCACTGAAGGACAGATATTGATCGCTTCTGCGTAACATGTTGCTCAACTCAGTAAAAGATCACATGATGAGCATCCATCATCGATCACATGTACTCGGCCAACGTCTGGTAACCAGCACTTCAGGATTACTTGATAATTGTTTATCTTAGTGATTTCCCCTGGAATTCTCACGACTGAAATAGCTCAACTACTAAGCCACATATTTCTCATCAGAAACTACACTCTATACCGGAAAACACAAGGGGGACACTAGAGAAACCAGTGATTGGTCAAACTGCTTGCCAAAACACGTGTCTGGAAGTAATGGGGACCAATCAGCACTCGCACGCTTCCTGTTCCCGGTCATTTTTTAAAAATGTTGCTAACCTTGTAACTGCGACCGTCCGATAGGAAAAATGTTGGGACTAGAAAGTAAGAGACGTTTATCTGCATCGCTGATATACTAGTATATGTTCAAAAGTGGCAGGTGTTAGTAACTTCAGGTCGAATGCCAGCGTGGAAAACTCATTCCTCCAGTGTCGGGAGCATGCTCAGCTCACAATAGTTCTCGGTCGACTACGGCCAGCTTACTGACTGAGAAGAAGAAGAAGACTCGATTGCTGGGACCATACATTTATTTGCCTGAAATTTCGACATCCGTCGCGGATTTATCTTCAGAGACATGAGAAGAAAACAGTAGCAAGGGTAATGCATGCACAGAAGTTTGCAGTATTTATAGGATACAGTCATTACTGTAAACATACAGCGACAATTAACGTATGATGATGAATCCGCGACGGACGTCGGAACATCAGGCGAATAAACGTATTGTCCCGGCGATCAAGTCCTCTTCTTCTCAATTGCTTCCTGGGACTTGCATGTTCGCTTGTATTGGCAGCTTACTGACTGTCGTCCGGGTTCTGCCGTCTAAATTTTGCTTTTTCCGCCATGTTACTTGCGGTGCCAGTTTTAGTTTTAACACTTTCCATTGACACCATGGGCGCGTTTACCGTGGGCCACAGGTCCTACTCACACCTAGAGAGGAAAAACCTGGGAATAACATTCTTTTCCATGGCAGAGTATTCGTACTCGTCGATTATTTAATGGCCTTCTCTTAGGCATCAATCTAAACAGAAACCACCAGTTAGACCTTGGAGACTATAGATCCGTCAGATTCAGTTCTATAAAGCGGCCGAATCGGTGGGCTTCATTGCCCTATGCATTTATAATTAGGCTAGAGTAGGTCAGTCTTAGTCCGCTAGCAGTTGCATGCTATTCTGGGCTCAAACATATATGCTCAAAAATTTGCATGCATAGTTTCCGGTTGCTAGAGGCAGGTAGCTCTGAAGGAGATTCAACTACAATCATCCTCTTGCTGGAAATTAAGCCCATTCCTCTCGAATGGATTTTATACAAATGCGGTGGCTTTTTGTCCAGTAGTGCTATTCATTGTTTATTGACCGGAGACAACACATTCGCCCGTGCATTTGAGCAGCACATGGCAGGTGCGCATCGGTCCTTGGGATTTGACTGTAAGGTTAAGAGTTTGAGTCACAATCGTTCGCCCCAACGCGCCGGACGCTTTCCCTCTAGATAGTTTCGTTAGCTCCACACTTGGCTCCGCGGGTTCTATCTCCCGTCGAGAAAAAGCGTGTATGCTAATGATCTTTCGCGCATACAGGAATGATGCATATGCATATTATTTGGGTATGAGATATTCAAACGTTAAACTTCACACTAATTTCTGGCGTTTTCAGGGATACGAAACCAAGGTCGGAGCTCGCGGCTCCCAGCTCTCCGGTGGGCAGAAGCAACGAGTGGCTATTGCCAGAGCCCTAGTACGAAACCCGCGTCTC